AGATCAATATACAAAAAGACACACAAAAAGGAAAACTTCGTGGGCAAAAAGCACCAAAGATACAAAACAAAATATATGAAACCCCACAAAACAAGTTCTGATAGAATACTGTTTTTCATTTTGCAGAAGTAAAATATTCACCACCAACCCTGCAATTAGCAAGAAAATTACAATAATTACAGCAATTTTGTATCCCATCTCCAATCCAATTAATAGATATATGACCTTGTCAACACGTAATAATCAGATTGCATCTACAACAAAACTGGATGGGTTTTAGATGCTGAATAGAACTTGCACAGTAAGAAGGTAATTATTTGAAATAGTGAGAATACCATTTGTATGCCATGCTCCACTTCACAAATTAAAAGAAAATACAATAGGAATATTATTCCTATTTTCAATACCTATTTAAATCAAATCTGGAAAATAAATTCTAATACCAGTTAATTTTAAGAGGATAGATGCCAAAACCAAAGATTCTGGACTTCCTAGCAAGATTAACATTAATCTACATTCTTGAGCAAGAAAAATTGTATGATACAGTCCATCTATAATAATTATTGATTCTGTTTAAGTTCTCAAAGTTAGAATAGAAAGCTGCTAAAACCTTACCAATTAAACAGCACCATTTCAGAAAAATTCTCACTGTGATAGAAATAATTAAAAGTTACATTAACATAGCTCTGAAAAAGTGAAACAGGCTGAAATGACATATGTGGATTATCACACAGCTTAAACAATTTAAGGCCAAGATCTCCACATTTCACATTCATCTTCCCCTACAAATGCCATTAAAACAAAGGAGTAAAGGTAAAATACTGGGTGGCAATTTCCCTATTTTTTCTAAAGATTGGATTTTACTTATTTATGTATATAAGACCTAGGGTGGAGACCAGAGGTTTGGTGGTGAGAGGATTCACCAGACACAGAGTGGGGAACAGAACAGGCAGATCAATGAATTACACTGCTGAGGGGAGCAGCAGTGAGACAAGAGAGGTCTGCCATGCCTTGTGGGTCACCTCTCTACCCAGGGGTTGAACCCAGGCCATAGAAGATGGTGATATCTTGACAGCACTGAGATTTTAACCCCTGTTCCATCATTAGTTTCCCTGGTTTTTGATCCTGCTTCCAGAGAGGTATGACCACAGAAAGCCAAATGTGTATTTCCTAACAACCATACAAGATACCTAGCTTCCAGGTGGTTCAGCTACAGCTACCCTCTGCCAACATGGAAATGCTGAGAGCATTTCAAAGTTGCTTCACTGTGCTCTGTATCCCCTAACAAATGGCAGCTAAACATAAATTTGATTAAACATCTAGGTTCAAATTTTCCCCATTATTTCCACATTTTATTTGTTCAGCAAGACTTTAAAGTGTATGAAAAAAATAAAATACAGATAGCAGTACTTTAAATTTACTACAATCACAACAGAAATGCTTAGCTTCACAGGTAAATTCTACTATGCTTTGGGGAAGAAACTTAAATGATGTACTAATTCTATCTGGAAGATAGAACAAAATGAACAAATAATATATGAATCCCATATAAAGCTACTATAACCTTTAAAAACAAAATAGAAACAATTTCTTTTTCAAGACAACTCCATAGGAGGTGTTGTAGTCTTCCAGCGAGAGGCAAACAATGCTTATTTGACTCTCCAACACATGATTACTTTCTGTACATTTGCAATAGTGAATGATCAATTCTGAGACCCACTAATTTATAGGATTTGTAAGACTAATATTGTGGGGTCCTTCCTGGTGGCACAACGAGTTAAAGCTTAGCATTGCAGAGCTTGGCCGCAGCTGCTTCAGTGCAAGTTCACTACCTGGCCAAGAAGGTGACCCACATAGTGCAGCAGACTTCTCCTGTCTTGCACACTGCTCCCCTCAGCAGTGTACTTGGTCAACCTGCCTTTCTGATCCCCATCCTGTCTCTGCTGAATCCTCTCACTACTCCTGCACTTCTGGCTTGTACTCCAGTTCTGTATGATTAAATAAATAAATCTTTTAAAAAAAGAATATTATAATTCCACAATTACTCCATTTACTAGCTGCAATACATCTTCACAAAGAAAATGCCCATTCATGTATTATTTGGTTCCTCAGTAATGCCATTCATATAGAAGTGCACGATAAATACTTAATTCCTTTTACTGGTTTTCCAAATAACAAGTTGCTTCATAGCATCTTTTGATTCTAGACCTATGCATATACCACTAGAAAGGTCAAGGTCAAACGTAGAAAGATCTCAAGATCTGAGAATTTTGCATGTTGGGCCACCTAAGCCTTATCTTAACGCTCAGTATTTAACATTTATTGAGGGGAAAAATAGTTTTCCATATACTTTTCCCAGTTTGCATCAACTGCTTATGAAACATGAGAAGAGTGAATTTATTGATGAGAAAACATCTTTTTAAAACAAAAATTAATAATTAATCTGAAATCCTTTATAAACCGTCCACAAGTAAAATCATTAAACAAATTTCTTGATGACAAGGACTAGATCTTAATAACACAACTCATCACAGAGTATAATGCCTGATCAGCACAATCCAACATTATCTTTATATTTGACTGAATTGTATTAATACAGTACTAAATATCATTTTAATAGATATGTGATTCACATGTAATAGGTAACTTTTACATAGTCATTAACCTGTACTCAGTAAATTTTTAGCATATACTTATCCAAAGCCTACCACAGTAATAAAATCTAAATAACCTTAGTTTACAAAATCATTGGTAGCTACAAAACAGTAAATTTGATTCTAATGTAACTTTCTCTGTGGACAAAACCAAGGTGAGAAAAATATGCCAGGTTGAAAACTTTTAAACTTTAAGACAGAGCCAGTGAAATGTGGACAAAATTTGGAAGTTATTTTAAGTTCAGGTAAATGCAAAAGATAAAATTTGGGACCTCCCCAGATTTAGGGGTTACATCAAAGCACTATGAAGCTATCTGCAGCCACTGCAACATGTGTTTGTTCCGTGGCCAGGGAGTCAACCGACATGGCACAGCAGACTCTCCTGTCAAGGCCACTGCTCCCCTAGCAGTGTGTATCAGTACATCTGCCTATTCTGCTCCCCATACTGTTCTCTGGTGAAACCTCTCACCCCCAACACCCCTGGCCAACACCCCAGTTCTTGTATGCATAAACAAATCTAAACAAAAACAGATAAAATTTGATAGGAAGCATGCCATTCAAATACTTCTTAATATAAAGACAGAATTTACCTCTGCATTAACACTGTTTAATGTAAAGATGCACTTAGCATAAAACCCATGCAAAACAACGAAAGCATTATATTCAAATACAAGATACATAGTAGAGTGCAATTACTCACAAAAAGACACTATCTACCTAATACTGGGCCTAAATTAACTTAAAGTCAAATTAGGCAATCTACCATTTATACACAAGTTTATTCCAGATGATCAATACTTCATGAATTTAATGAGATAATGTGTCTCACAGCTACCTATTACTTTATATTATAAACAGCATGTGCCTCACTTTGTGAAATCACTGACTCTAGTAAATCCAACATAAGATTTTTTTAATGGCATGACAATGTAGCAACCAGATATTACTCCCACAAAATTAGTTCAAACAATTTGTGTTTCTACATGTTGTTTCAATAAACAAACATAAATCTCCTGATTATAAAGAAATGTTTGACAAAAACACTTTATACTGTCTATACAAGTTCAAGCTTTTTGGAAACACATTTCATAGTACCTAAGAAGTCTTCCTTAGGATCATTTCTAATCTAAATGACAAAAAGCAATTTTAGGAAGTAGGACCACTGGCCTGCATCCATACATGCCCCTCCGTGAATCAATTACATCTTCCATCACACTGTGTGACTTTTCAGTTCTACAGCTCTATATGGCTTCTTTGGCCTGTGTTTCTGATAAACAGTGGATTGCTTAACTGCTAAACTGATGATCTTTCTTGCATTCTTCATATTTATATATATGCATGTATATGTGTATGTATATACGTGTATGTGTGTGTATGCTCAAGGCACAATGGAAGCAGAAACAATTTATAAAAATGTACGAACTGTCAAAATGATTATAAGCAGTAGATTACAAGCAATGCAAAATGTGGAAATAAGGATGCATTTTAGAAGTATAAATGATGTATTCTAAATAATATCTACTTATACCAAATATATTAGTGTATATATTAATATAGCAATATAGTATATATTATTTCCTATTGATACATGAAAGTATACTGATAATTAACAACAAATGCACAAAAACCAATTTTGAAAAACTGAGCTATTTCTAGTTGGGTTTGCCTAAAAGATGAAACATTTTTAAATTCTTGAACTTCTTTACTTTTAACAAAAGCTCAATTATAAGATTATACAATTACTAACACTAAATAGTATTTCTAGTAAAAGTACCTTACTTTTCTGAGTAAGATTTCCAGGAATGGATGACAGAATTATTCAAGCAAGTGAACTGGAATTTGAGTATCCTGAATCCTAGGAGTCCTCAAAGAAGCTCACTATGTTCTCTGTATCATTTCCTTGAGATTCTACTCTAAGAGTTCTTCCAGATCTCTGAATATAACTACAGTCCCATAAGGTTTCTTCTTCCCCTGCTCATCAGATAAAGTCTCAAGTAATTTCTAAGTTGATTATCAATCAAAGATACCTTTTGTTTTCATGTGAAATTTTTTAATTATCTCATCATGCTAGCATTCAGATGAAATACTTGCAAAGAAAAATACAGGTAACATCACTTTTACCTTATATAAACAATGAAAAGCCTAAAGAAAAGAATGTTCTATCAGTTCACATGTAATGATCTCGACTATCTCTCTTGCAAAAGACATTTGCCCAGGTCTAAACTTAATCAATTTTTGATAAAAACAGATAATGAATTCCATTCACAGGAGCATAGCTGAGTAACAAAAGTTGGCATCCCTGTAAATTAAGATGAAATGTGCAGAAAAGAAAGAGTTTTCACTTACTTGCACGAAGGACAGAAGGTGTGACCTCAATTTCACTTGTTACTTGATAAGGCTGAAAGGCTGAAACATTGTTGGTGCCAAACTCACTGCCAAATATCTCTGGACTCTGGGTACCTGTAGAGCTGGCACTGGTGCCATCACCTCCATGATGTGGATCTTGCTCATCAAACACTGCTACCAGCTATAAAGAAAAGGTAAATTTGCATTTACAACGGCCTTTAAAATCACTTCCAAAAACTAACATATTTGACATAACCTTAAAAAGAAAATTATTAACATTTATGTATCCAGTAATGCTATATTTGAGGAAGGAAATCTTATCCAAAATAGCCTTTCCCTGAAATTTGAGGCTTTATTTTTACATTCCTAAGTGTTATACTTCTTATCCAAAATTTTATAGGTGAAAAAAATAGTGAAAGTTCTGTATCACAAATGCTAAAGAGAGTGGGTGGATATAATGTTTGTAACAGATATATTAAAAGGATGAGGAGGGATAGAGTATTTGTGTGTGTGTCAAGGTATAAGTTATCTTTTATATAGAAAGACAGAACAACTAAAAATTATACATGTATTTACTAATTTGTACATAAGAAATATAGGAAGGATGAAAGAATTATAAGAACCACCTACAGTGAGTGGGTTATTAGAGTGGAAAAGGAAAATGGGAACGAATAATAGCAAAGGTGGCACAGTAATAGTTTTTAATATTTTTCTTATAAATTTCACAGGTAAAACCATGATTCAAATTCAAATTATTAAAACTGAAATAAAAATAACTGAAATCAATGAGAATGGCAAGGTTATAGAGAGAAGATGTTGACCTAAAGTGGAACACAGGCTTAACAATGTTACAAATAAATAATGCAACCACACTGAAGTATGTGGAATCAAATCTAAAAAGCTGATGAAAAATCCAGATGGAGGTTACATGGTAAAAAGAAATCAAAGTAGCATGAGGAACTGGGCCACCCAATCTTATAATAAACAACACAAGAATGAAGAATTCCTTAACAATTATGAAAAATTAAAAGATACATACAAAAAGTTTTCACATACAGTAATAAAGTCAGCCTGTTGAGCACCGAATGGCAATCATCTCCCCTTAAATAAACTTTATTTACAAAGGAAATTCTGGACTAAATTTCACCCAGAGACCTCAAATTTGCAACCCTCAAGTAGACTGTTCATTCCTCTAGTAAAACCAATTATAAATTCTCAATTTGGGAAATAAAACTAAAAAATCAAGATACTTTGGGAACCCTGACAAACTAATAATTATCATTTCAAAGTCTTTAAAGGGATTCTGAGTTTTGATACTTGATTTTAATATCATCAGTTTCTCTCACAATCTGGGCTTTAGTATGTATTTTCAAGTTGCTGTGTTGTGACAGTCTGGTGTTGAACTGGAAGCAAATGAAACTTTTTTAAGAGTTCCTATTAGCTTTTAACAAATGATATTTACTCTGAAAAAATCAAGTCCTTTCCACAAGCTCTAAATGGAAATAGAAAATAACAAAAAAATGAGTCTTTAAATGCAATGTGTGATGGACAAACTTACACATGCATATTAGTTTCAAAAATTATCTCCAGTAGTTTAAGCAAACAAAGTATTATGAAATCTGGACTGTATCATGAACAAATGCTGTTTAAATTTCAGTGGTAAAATCACAGTTGGCAATTTGCAGTATGCCAATAACACAATCCCTCAGCTTTCTTTTAAACCAAATTTTAAGTGCCAGGTGCAGATATGAAGTAATTTTGTGTTAAATTCGGGTGGATATGTAATTTTAGAAAACCTACAAGAACACATATAGTAGCATAGCAAAAGAAAACAAGATCTTCACACAGAAACATGTGTAAAAATTTCTACCTTGGCCTTAAAAAATAAAGTAAATGTCTGCCTTTGGACTTGTGAATGTAATTCAAATCCATTTTTTAACAGATGAAGTCTTCAATAACTCTAAGTGACTTAAATTATTTTGAAAGTTCATTTTTCTTTCAATAGCTAGTAATCTCTCTAAATCCATTCAACTATAAGATCTCTATGAGTAAAGATAGCTTGAATTTGGGGTAAGACCCATAATAAATTAACTCTAAACTTAACTTTCCCATTTTTTACCTCTCTCTAAAACATCAGAATGCTATGACTGAACACCTATTAAATAAACATCATATACAAACACCTCTTTTTTTTTTTTAAAGATTTATTTATTTGTACATACAGAACTGGGGTACAGGCCAGAAGCTCAGGGGAGGCGAGAGGCTTCACCAGAGACAGAGTGGGGAACAGAACAGGCAGATGGACGAAGTACACTGCTGAGGGGAGCAGCGGGCGGGTCAGGAGAGGTCTGCCACGCCATGTGGTCATCTCCAGGGCAGGCGGGAATCGAACTCATGCGGAAGTGGCTTTAGATTCTCAGTGCTGTGCTTTAACCCGCTGCGCCACCAGAGAGGGCCTACAAACACCTCTTTAATGGGTAAATATATTAGCTGAAAATCCAAAACTGCACATAGCAATGTGACTAGCATAGAGTTCAGAATCAGAGACACCTACATTCAAAAAAACTAAGATCTATTTCTTGGATACTTATTGGTAAATCAACTTATTTTCCTCATCTCAATAAATAGTATTGGGGGTAGGTGGTAGCAAAATATTACCCATTATTGTTTATGCCCAAATGCCTAGAACCTATAGGTGATAACTTTCTGTGTCAAAAGATTAAAGACCTTAAAAAGGGGAATTATCCTGGAATACATGCTGGGCCCACCTTAAAACATGAAACTGGAAACACATAGAACCTTCCCACTTTCAGCTCACAAAGAGACTTGGCAATGTGTAGAGAATGGCTATAGCTGGCTTTAAAGATGGAAAAAGTAACTGGTCAAAAAATGGGGTAAGAGGCTCTCGCTGGTGGCACAGCGGGTTAAAGCACAGCACTAAGAAGCTAAAGCCACTTTCATATGAGTTCAATTTCCCTCTGCCCCAGAGGTGACCGCATGGCGTGGCAGACCTCTCCTGACACGCCCGCTGCTCCCCTCAGCAGTGTACTTTGTAGATCTGCCTGTTCTGCTCCCCACTCTGTCTCTGGTAAAGCCTCTCGCTGCCCCTGAGCCTCTGGCCTGTACCCCAGGTCTGTATGCGCAAATAAATAAATCTTTAAAAAAAAACATGGGGGGAAGAAATGGATTTTTCACCAAGTCTCCAGAAAAGAAAGCAACGCTGAGGCAGCCATGATTTTTAATGCACTGAAACCCACAACAGATTTCCATCCTACAGAACTGTAATAAGTGAAGTGCCCAGTTTGTGGTAATTTGTTACAGAGCAATTGAAAATTAATATAGTTCTAATACTTGCCTCCCAGGCTTATGACAAATAAAATAATAAAGTACATGGAGTTTCAAAATACAGAAAGTACACAGTTACTATTAGCTATCAATAAATTATATTGTGGTAGCTGATAAAAATGTACTTGTATAAAATTGAGGCTCTGTTTTAAGGGTAACTGAAGACTGGTACAGGGATCTACGACCTACCAATTAAGAGGTAGGGAAAAATAGGAAAAGGGAAAAAAGGTTTTCTAGAAAAAAAATCAACATTGTAATAATCATGAAAGCTCTTTGCAGGTGCTCTAAATCATTCCAACTCATCATATATATACAAAGAAGCTTTTTGTATTTCATTTTAAAGAAATGAAAACTGGCCCTCCCTGGTGGCGAAGCGGGTTAGAGTACAGCACTGAGAAGCTAAAGCCACTTCTGCATGAGTTCGATTCCCTCCTGCCCAGGAGATGACCACATGGCATGGCAGACCTCTCCTAACCTGCCCGCTGCTCCCCTCAGCAGTGTACTTCGTAGATCTGCCTGTTCTGCTCCCCACTCTGTCTCTGGTGAAGCCTTTCGCCGCCCCAGAGCCTCTGGCCTGTACCCTAGTTCTGTATGAGCAAATAAATAAATCTTTAAAAAAAAAAAAGAAAGAAAGAAAGAAAACTGAGAATCATGACAATTTGACCAAAATTTAATTATAAATAAGTACAGAATGTATCTGAGATTAGAAATCCAGTCTGCCTAACTTCAAAGATACGATTTCCTCTTAATCCTCCCTGCTGGAGAATCTGACACAGCACTAGGAATCTGCAAATTACTGTCATCATCAAATCTTTACAGATATTCTACTCATTCTTGAATAACCAAAGTTAATAACACACCTTATAAAATTAATATAATTTTGATACCAACACTTAAATTATCTGGACATATTTAAGGTTAGGCAAGATGCTAAAAACAACTCCATGCCAGTGATATTCAGTCTTCATAAGAACAACTTTGTAATAGAGAAAAATATATATGTTATAGATATTGCCTTCATACAGAAAAATAGTTGTCTATGTGAGGTCTCAAAGAACTCTCAGACCTCACACACTTAAGTAATTTCACTTCCATAGCCCTTGAGCAATCTCTTGCTGCCTCTGTTAATTTGTTCATATAGAGACATAATATATCAATGAAGTTTATTATTACGGTCTCATAGCTAGTCCTTGCAATTCAACTATATAAATTGTTTGATTTTAAAATGAAAATTTATAATTTATTAGAAAAGCAACACATTTTTAGCCCAGAAGAATGTCCAAAGCACAATGAAAAACACAATGAGTTTGCAAATGCTGTTAAGACCTTATCTTTACCTAACATGAGTGACCTAAATGAGTATGCCAGCTGGAACTGAAACACTTTGTATACTGTATCAAAACAAGGAAGAAACACAAAAGAGAAAATGCACTTGACAGTTTCTGGCAGGAAACTCTGTTTGCAGCATTCTTCAGTAATCTTCCTAACACAGTACCATTAAGATGATGCTTTGGAAGTCTAAAATAATGAAGGGATCATGTTACATACATCTCTGAATAAGAGAAGGGAAGCAGAGCTCCAATAAAGAATGAATGCAACAGAAAGGTATGCACACATTTGAGAATCACTGCAATTTTTCTGAAAATTCCCAATAAAAATCAAATAGCTGGAAATTCATGGATTTTATAATGGAAGTGAGGATGTTTCACAATATGTAATTCACTTTTTTTTTTAAAGATTTATTTTATCATTTATTAGTACAGAACTGGGGTACAGGCCAGAGATGCAGAGGGTGAGAGGATTCACCAGACAGAGTGGGGTACAGAACAATTAGAT